CCTGGCCACAGCGCTGTCTGTAGTGCAACTGTGTAGACTATGAGTGCAATAGCAACTGTGTCGTCTATGAGACTAGTGTACTTGCAACTCAGGGCTTGGCTGTAGGCAAGTTTGGGGTGGACTGCCTTACAACTCCCTGGCCACAGCGCTGTCTGTAGTGCAACTGTGTAGACTATGAGTGCAATAGCAACTGTGTCGTCTATGAGACTAGTGTACTTGCAACTCGGGTCTCGGCTGTAGGCAAGTTTGGGGCGGACTGCCTTGCAACTCCCTGGCCACAGCGCTGTCTGTAGTGCAACTGTGTAGACTATGAGTGCAATTGCAACTATGTCGTATATGAGACTAGTGTACTTGCAGCTTGTGTCTTGAGACCAGAGTACTTACAACTCGTGCCATTTGCTGTGGGGATCCTGGTGTTGGTAAGTTTTTAAACTAGTTACATCAGCGTGGTAGGAGGTGTGCTGTGGTGTGAGTTGGGTATGGTCAGTTTTGAATCCGAGGTGTGAGTTGGGTAAGATCAGTTTTGAATCCGTTGCCGATAACTCGTTTTGGATGAACAAGGTCTCAGAGTAAAAGTCACTGTTCCGTGGTATTCCCTTGTTTTGAGTACCGCCGTCTTCCTTAAAAAGGTTTGTAATATTCCTCAGGTATTCTGCCCATTATTATTAAAGGTAATAAATAGATTAATCCTTAAAAATTCTTACTAAGAGAATAATAGGTGTAAAAACAACACACAAGCATAAAGTGACATCGTTATTTATTCACAATAAATTTTACAATGAATTCTCTTGAAACCCCCACTCCCTCAAAACAATTTTTCCATTAGGATTCCTATTGTACTTCTCCACCACCTCCTCCGTTAACACCGCTGAAAATCTTCTTGGAAGGAATAATCGCCCACCTTTCCTTTTCCTTCCCCTATTTCTTTCAAAAAATCTATTTCGGCTAGTACCAATGTAGACGTGGTACCCTTGGCTCCATATAGTGCATTTTTTTTCTACTTGTAATACTTGTTTGAAACGTAGAACAGGGTAGGGTTTGATACCTCTAAATCTGTTATTTTTAGCCTGGGGAGGAATTCTGTTGTTGACTTTGAATTGAATTGGTCCTGAAGTGAAGCCATCTGAAAAATAAATTAAATATTAATCTTTTTGTGAACCAGCTTAATGGGACTATGGGAACGGGGTTTATGAGGGGTTTTATGGGGTAAAATTATTTTTCCCATTTTTGACCCAAAAAACAAAATTTCATAGGTAATTTATCAAACCATTTTGTAGAGCTTAAAAAAAGAAAAAAAATTTGTATATTGCAGCGTTGTTGTACACCCTAACGGTTACAGATATGGTTAAAAAAATTTAAATTTAAAATTACCATGTTATTCTTATGGACAATAAATAAATTCTTGTAGTTTGCTTGTTTATGGGTATAAATTAATCAAATTTGGCAATTTGTTTATTTCATACTAACCTATCAACATTTCAATAAAAAAACACAACTCAACAACTTCCCTGTAGCAGCAATCCTAAGTACTCACTAAAATTAATGTTATTAAATCTTACTAATATTATAAATCTGAAAGTTTGTGAGTTTGTGTGTATGTTTGTGTGTATGTTTGTGTGTATGTTTGTGTGTTTCTCAATCACGCATAAACTACTGGACGGATTGGGCTGAAATTTGGCATGATGATAGCTCACATTCCCTATTAACATTTAGGCATATTCTTATCTCAAAAATCCTTTCGGGCTCCGCCCCAATGGCTCTGTAGTTCCCCATGTTAACCTTATGAGTATTCATATTTAAAGGGAATTAAAGAATTTAGTCAGCTGTTTCAACTTTACAAGTTGGTTCTATAATATGCAATAGCATTAAAAAGTTATAAGGTTTCCCAACAGGGTGCAGCACTATTATTATTTTGTTTGTGCATATATGACAACAGCTAATTTTAAGTAAGCAGCAACAAAAAGCTGTGATACACAATGAGAACCGTCAAAGTAGGATTGTTTACAGTTAAGTTTGAGTTTTTAATTTAATGAATAATTTGTGATATTGTGCGAATGTTTGATGATTTATTTTTTCTATTGTTTAGGTGCAATGGCAGAACATTATGGGAATGGTAGATGTGTTATACTATATCATACCGTAAATTTATGAACCAAATTTTATCAAACTGTGTCCTCTCCCCATTGCAAACGCAAAGCTTGAGTATAACTGCAATTAGCATTTTATACTTATATGCCAACCCCGTACGAAGGACGGGTGCTCTGCTAGTAGGAAATAAATCTGACAATTTTTTGGGAATATTTTAGTATAAATCCAGCCGGTAAAATGGAAATTCGCTTAGTCTGCAGGTTCGCTGTGGCGGGACTATATTAAAAACATCCCACTTGTAGATTCTCCTAAAACGCTGATCAGGGTGTCTACTACATTCTGGATAAAAAATTCATGGACAGTTCCCGTACATTTAAGGACACTTTGCCGTAACCTTTGACGGTGTCATTAGGCCTACCGAATAATTTTCCTGATCTGTCAAACTGTATTAATCTTGTTATTCACTGTAGTTGTACCAGAGAGAAAAGTAAATAATAATAGATAAGAGTTAAAAATTTCAAAATAGATATTTATTGAAAGTTAACAAACATAGGCCTACCTATACTTTAGGTAAAGCTTTTATAGTGTAACAGAGAAACGCAATCATTGTCTCCTCCGATAGCGACAAATATCTCCATCGGTCACGTAAACTTCATAACATTGCTTATCCGATCTAGGAGGTTAGGTTCTCGACTACTTTTGAAAAAAAATCTTTAATGCATATTGTTACTCAATTCTTAGTACAAAATCAAGGTATGGTAAGCGGCTATTAATAAGCAATAAGCACAGAGTAAGATTATTGTATTTTCATTTGCAAAGTTAATATCGACACATAGCAATCATTAGTTGTTTATCTTAGGCTCAATTACATTTTCTTAATATATTTTACAGCTCTTTCAAGAATCAAAATACCCAGGCCGAGACCTAATTATTTAGGAGGGCCTATATAAACTGAGTAACAAACAATGAGGTTATTATAGCAGCAAAGTCACTATCATCATTCTAGTTCATAAGATTTAGATTGCTTAAAGCATACAACTCAATAAATAAATATATAGGAAACAAAAAACATTGAAACCTGAATAGCCAATATAAGACAAAGATACAGAAAATGCAATGAAATAATTTGAAACCAAGCATAGGCCTACACAGTGATAAAACATAAATGCAAACAACAATGCTTGTGGTTTTGTCAATTGAAAGATAAAATGTCCATAAAAAGGGGTTAACTTACAAAATAAGACTGTAGATTATTTACATGTTTAATATGAAACCATAAACAGTTTTATGGCACTAGGCACTGGCCGCGGCAAATTGAATCTTCAAGCCCCCAAGTAAGAAGTGAAATTTAACAGCCATTATAAAGCTATTATTTTCACGATAAAATAGGTTTGGGATCTAATAATAATTACCCTAGTGATAAAAAAAGAAGTTGTAAAGGAATAAAAGTGATACAACTTTTATGAGCTAGCTGCTGAGTCAACAGTTCTTGGAAGTACTTGACTTGACACTTGATTGATGATAAAATATTAATGGGTTTGAGATTGCTAATGGGATTTTTATTGCATAATTATTCTAGTAATAAATTATGAAAATGTAAACAAACATCTGATAAACCTTTTATGTGCTCCTAACCAACTAGCGATCAATAAAATTATGGCCTATTAAAAATTTAAGTACATAGTCTGGCATTTAAGGACAATTCCCGTACATTTCATGGCCAATAAAAATGTAAGTACAATTCCCGGTTTTCCCGGATTTCCCGGTTGGTAGACACCCTGGCTGATGTACCTAGTTTCAGTATTCACCAACGCCAAGATCCCCACGGCAAATAGCACGGGTTGTAAGTATTCTAGTCTCAGACACAAGTTGCAAGTACACTAGTCTCACAGACGACACGATTGCAATTGCATTTTAAAGGATTAATCTATTTATTACCTTTAATAATAATGGACAGAATACCTGAGGAATATTACAAACCTTTTTGAGGAAGACGGCGGTACTCAAAACAAGGAAATACCACGGAGCAGTGACTTTCACTCTGAGACCTTTGTTCATCCAAAACGAGTTATCGGCAACGGATTCAAAACTGATCTTACCCAACTCACACCTCGGATTCAAAACTGACCGTACCCAACTCACACCACAGCACACCTACTACCACGCTGATGTAACTAGTTTAAAAACTTACCAACACCAGGATCCCCACGGCAAATGGCACGAGTTGTAAGTACTCTGGTCTCAAGACACAAGCTGCAAGTACACTAGTCTCATATACGACATAGTTGCAATTGCACTCATAGTCTACACAGTTGCACTCCAGACAGCGCTGTGGCCAGTGAGTTGCAAGGCAGTCCGCACCAACTTGCCAACAGCCGAGCCCTGAGTCGCAAATACACTAGTTTTAAAGTCAACACCTCATTTAATCGGTGTGGCCCAATTACTCTACTCTCAACAGTGTATTGTAATGTGTTTTTAGTGCCTGTTGTGATGGAAGATTGGACCATCAAAGACTAGTGAATTTCCCATATAGGGAATAAGCTATTACAGTAGGTCTCATGGTAAGACTTAGACTCAAGACCAATTTACTTCTTAGTTTTGAGGTCCCCAGAGGCCAAAAAAACCCTCCATTCAAATTCATATATATATACAGAAATTCTGGTCAACGACGTCGCAGCAGGTATTAAAGGGTAAAGGTATAACCAAATAGTAAAGCACATATCATGAAAATAACCCTAAAACAATAAATAGAAACAACATTTTGTCTACACTAGTGATTAGTGTGGACGAAGCCTACATGAACTAGACGCAAAAAAACAAACTTCAAACTTAACAATGGGATGAGGTGTCTACTTGTGTTGCTAAGTCTATGCTAACAGCTTGAGAAATTTGCTAAAAATAGCCAAACATACCTCATCTGAAGTGAAACCTCCTTTGAGTTCATCTGGGATTTCAATATCATCTGGCGCGGTAATTTTCATTTTTCTCTTGATTCTGAAGTCAAAGAGGCACAAAACAAAAATTAGTGATGTAGGCCAAGGTATCTTAGCATGTTGAAATGTTAATTTTTGTAAGTTATTTGAAATTGCAGTTAACCCTTCATAGTTGTCTTTGATTGTAAACACATGACACATCTTTGATTGTCCTATGACAATGGTTGGTCATTGGACAATGTCATGTCAGAACAAAAACATGTTGTTTCAGGAGTCCCACAAGGGTCCATCATGGGCCCTTATCTGTATAATATCTATGTTAGTAATTTTCCTGCTATCAATAAGGTTGAAATTAGTATGTATGCTGACGACACTTCAGGTGTATGCTGGGCTCAGTCTTTTGATGAACTCAAGCAGGGCATGGCCGAATTTGTACATAAAGCCAGCTCATAATTTGAAAATATTAATTTCAAAGTCAACCTAGATAAGACAGAACAGGGCCGGTTTAACCCATACGCGAACTACGCGGCCGCATATGGCGCCACGAAAAAGTGGCGCCGTGGCGCCAACGGAACAATTTTTTTTACGTGAACAACGTAATTTTGTTTATTTTCGCTCAGAGTTCAAGTATACCACAATAAAGGCATTTATTCTGTTTGTACCAACAGCACTTGCAAAATGTGTATATTTGTACAGCACTACAACTCAAGGACTCCATTTGCAGTTTCGATTTTGTAGTGAGCTGACGCTCGGCAACGTACGGCGCGGCGCCTGTGGGTTTCATTTCACGACTCACTCATGCTCGAGATGAGATAAGCAAGCGCGCAGCGCCAATTGTCACAACAAGAAACTTCCCCCTCCCTTCTGACTCTTATCCTAGAGCATAGCACTACGTTGTATTGCACTCTTTTATGTTAGCGTATTAGCGTGTATCGGTATCGTAATGGCGTTGTTTTGATGATTCATGATTGTTGATAAGTGAATGATTACGAGTGTTTTAAGTTTAATTTATAATTAGCGCATTAAATAAGAAGAAAGTATAAACTGAATAGAGTAAAACATCTAGCGAGTCGATACTAAGAAAACAATGGTAGAAAAAAAAGTCTGGCACTTACAAGCAGCTGATCACAAACGGTAAACATTACGTCATTGCCGTCTTCTATCGTGACGTCATGCTTGACGAGCATTAGTGTGGCCTTGATTACGGCCTGTTTTTTTTTAGTGTGGCCTTGGTTTTGCTAAAGTTTATATGATGAGTAAAAGTGTAAAAATGTTAAATTTATGCGAATAATAAACAGTCTTTTATTGCAAGTATTCTTCTAACCTAAACTTTTAAAAAAGTTCTTCCCAAAATTATTGGGAAAAAATTCACAAATACGGTTATGTTATGATATTGGTTTGGGGGGGGGATGGTGGGGGAATCCTAAGTGGCACTGATTCGGGTGTTCGCTTAACTCTGAAAAATTCCTAGAACCGGCCCTGAGACAGAAATTGTAGTTTTCGGATTGAGTAGTACGGGCATTCCTCTGATAGATTTAGTTAAGGATGATGTGATCTTTGAAAGTAGCCTAAAGAGTGCTGTAAGTTTTTGGGACTATATATAGATCAGACCTTAACTTTTAAGAATCATATATCTCATGTAAGATCTAGACTTTTAAGTGGAATCAGCCTCCTCAGAAGAATATCTTTTTATTTAGATACAGATACGTTAAAAAGAATTTATTTTGGTGTCATATTTCCTTTCTTGTCTTATGGCCTTATTTTCTGGGGAAGTTCTCCCGACTGTAATTTACATACAATTTTTGTTCTCCAGAAAAGAGCAATCAGACTGATAGCCAAAGTATGGTACAAAAGGTCTTGTAGAGATATTTTTGTTAATTTAAATCTCCTCACTTTGTATGGACTATAGCCTACATTTATCAATTAATTATGCTTGTGAAAAATGATGTAGGCCCTAAAGCACACAAATAAAAATAGTCAAATCCACAGGTACGACACGAGACGAAAGGATGATTATCACCGTGTGAGGAGGAATTTCAACAAAACTGGCCGAAGTCCTTTTGTGATGGGGTCAATTTATTTCAACCTCCTACCAAACAATATAAAGGAATTAGAAGGCACTAAATTCAAAATTGCTTTGAAGAATTGGCTAGTAAAAAAAAGACCGTATTCATCAAAAGTTTCAGATCTAACCGATTCGGCATAACAATTTGGAAAAACTACATTTTGAGTGATCTAAGTTGAGCCCAGGTTTGTACACTAAGAGGTAATATTGTTTTATATCCCTCCGAGCGTCACTTGTCGAAAAATCGACTCACGACACACTTTGTGTAGTGTCACTTGTTGATTTTTCGACACACGAACATCGTTTACGGCGAAGGCTCTATGACTGACTGAATCGGATTGAACTGGATCGAGTTAGGTATCGTTCTTTTTGTTAGATTCAGAGCTTTCTCCGGAGGTCTGTCTCTAAGCGCTATTCATTTTAGTTCCAAAAATATTGTAGCAGACAGCTGATGTGCGTATTTTTAAACAGCTTGGATAACCTCGGACCGATGACTGATGTGTTTTATTACGTTTATCATTGTTTTAGTGTTAAAAATCAAAAGTAGTGATATACGTGGTGCATTATAAGAAGATTTAAGTGATTTTGAAGGGCTGGTTGGTGATCCTGAAGAAGTAGGTAGTGATATTGATGTAGCCTAAGTTATCAGCCAGATTCCTAGCTATGGTTAGGCTATGCATTCTTAGCTAAACGCTATGTAGCCTACTGAAATCTGTTTTTTGTCCATAACTTATTTATTTGCAAATCTACTTCCTTATATTATTATATATTTGTAATCCTCATAAAATTTAGAACAAAGTGACTATTTTCAAATATTTATAGGCCTATTATTTATACAATTTAATTGAGCACAAACTTATTTTTATTTTTTTTTCCAAAATATTTTTTTTACCTAAAAATTTTTTTGAAACAAATGTTCCTTATGTTTTATGTATACTATAGAAGCCCATGATTTTCCAAACAAAATGGTAGGCCTATATAGAACAGTAGAATTAACATTGTTTTAAGCTTCTCAGATCCGTTTTTTAATAAAACCTTGCAAATGCGCCAAAAATAGGCGGACATTAAGGCCTAAACTATGGACACTCGGAGGGTTATAACTTATACATTGAAATTGTATTCTTTTTTCTTTTATTTGACATTGGTGACTTTTGTCTATGCATTGTATAGGCCTATATATGTTTATGGACAATAAATGATTTGATTTGATTTGATTTTAAAATAACAACTAAGCCACTAAGTAACTTAAAAGTTATAAGCTTAGTAAGTTATGGGCCCTAGCTTATAGTTCACTCTTGAACTTAAATTGATCACTCAGCTTTGCGTTCCTAGTACAGGCCTTGAATATAGGCTATGTCGAGAAACAAAGGCAAGATTCAAAAAGGCTTCTAGCCTGTTGAGTAAAAAAAAACAGGTGTGTAAGTAGCCTAGGCCTAATTAGCCTTTATTCTAGACTGGTTTATCTAGCCTACATTTAGGACCAGGACCTTTCAGAAGTTGATAGACCTAACTAACACTAGGTTTCTTACGGTACCAAGACAGTTCTGCACAGCACATACAAAAGACTTATTATTACGTATATCGTTAGCAATAGGACTATGCTAGCCCAGAGGCCTAGTACAAATTCTTACCTGAAAAGGAATGTCTTCAAGTGGATTTGATCAAAACAAAACTACAGAATGAAGATTCACCGTGAATTATGCGTGTATGATGAAAACAATGTCCCCGCAATCCAAAGGGAATTCACTAGTTAAAAAAGATAATTAAAAATTCAAAACTAAAAGATTATTTTGTAGGCCCATAGGACTAGGCTTAGGCTAGGCTCTCGGCGGAGGGAGATGGATATGGAGACCGATGTTTTAGTTTTAGTTTTAGGTTAAGGGGTAGGTAGGATAAGAAAAAGAACTCTTACTCAATCTTTTTTCCGCTTTAGCACTGTGCTATTGCTTTGCAGGCTTTGGTTCAATAGATCAGGCAGCCTCGATGTACACTGAGTTATTCCACAGATTTTATTCCAATTAATTGGTCTATGGTATAGATAAATCATACTCCTCAAGTCTATAGTCTGTCTGTGGACATTCTAATTCTAAAGACTAAACTAAAAACAAAATCTACTAAACATAAATTTAATATGGATTAGATATTGGATTGGATTGGATAGCCTCAAAAAAACATGGACTCATTCGATTTTGTACACATTTTTGTATTTGTAAATACTTACTGACCTATTGTTTATGACGCCATTTTCAATCTTGACGATTGCTTAATAAAGTACCGGTATCTCTCTCTCTCTCTCTCTCTCTCTCAGGTTAATCTTCTCATGGATTCGATGGACGGCGCAGGAGTGATTGGCAATACTCCTATGAACCGGGGAACACAAAAAAACCATCACTAATGAATTGTATGTAGTTTTTCAGGTTTCAGTTTGACCTACACCAAAGAGAAGTTTTTGAAAAGATTTTTATATTTTACATTATTTGCAAATCAGGATGTCGGCTGATCAATTGAGAACATTGAAGGAGGATGAGGCTAGGAGAGAAGAAGCCAGAAAGGCTGAAGAGGACAGGATAGCGGCGGAAAAGGAGTTCCTGGAAAAACACGAGAAGGAGAGGAGGTTGAGTAGCTCCAGGGGGTCCGCGTCTGCGTTGGGAGGAGGCTATCGATCGGGGACCAGCAGTATGGCGGAGTCGGAGTCCGAGGCGGAGAAGCAAAAGAAGAGGAATAGAAGCCCTGAGGAAAAGGAGAAAGAGAAAAGGAGGAAAGCCAGGAAGACTGAGGATTTGGAATCGGATGAGGAAGAAAAGGTCGAGGATGAATACGACCCTTTAGTTTGCTTGAGTTTGGTACTGGATAAGATGAAGGGATGGTTCAAACAGCCAACCATCATGAAAATGGTGACAAAGCCTCAGACAGAGAAGTTTGGAAGGTACTTGAACCGGTTCCAGGAAGAGATGATTAGGGCAAGAGAGGATAGAGTCCGGATTGAAACGAGGTTGGAAGAACGAAGAGAGTTTTTAAAGATCGTGAGCTCCACCGTGCGACATGAAATGGACAATCTGAAGGACAAGGTTGTTCCAGGCGCGGCTGGAGTGAGCTACTCAGCAGTGCTGAAGAAAGATACCCCAATGGTTCCAAGGGTAACTGGAATGAAAGGACCCGTAGTCCAAGCACCGAAACAAATTATAGTGCGGCATGACACCTTGGAGACTGAAGAAGTGACTAAAACCTTGAAAAAGTTAGTACGGCCTTCTGAAATCGGCTTGAAAGTAAAGAGGCTAATAAATATCAAGAATGGTGTGATTATTGAAGCAGAAAATGAGGATGGAGTGCAAAATCTCATGAAGCAAGAGACGTTGAAAGAGGCAGGGTTGAAAGTAGAGCGTCCGGAGAAGAAAAAACCTTTCATCATGATTTACGATGTTAGTGCTAAACTGACGGAAGATGAGGTCAAGGAGGAGATTTTCTCCCGAAACATGGGGGAGAGCCAAATTGTTGAGGCGGATTTCAAGCAGGAGTTTGCTGTAAGACATAGGTATAAGGATTTAAGATCGACAGGGAAAAGGTGTCATGTTGTGGTGGAATGTTCTGTACGGGTGAGGAACTGGCTTAGAAGGAAAGAGCGGATCTTCGTAGAATGGCAAAGTTGTCGGGTGAAAGACTATGTGGATGTTGCTAGGTGTTTTAAGTGTCAGAAGTTTGGACATGTGGCAAAGCACTGTAAGAGTGAAACCCCTGCTTGCTCCCACTGTGCTGGGGAGCACGACTATAAGGACTGCCCCAACAAGGGTAAGAAGGAAAAGGTTAGATGTATAAACTGCGTAAGAGATAAGAAGGAAAATAGCAAGCATGAAGCTGGGTCAAGAAAGTGTCCGGCCTATGAGAAGGCAGTCAGACGGCAAAATGAAAAAATAGATTATGGATTGTAGAATTGGGCATTGGAATCTAGGGAGAGGTAAAGTTGCTACAGATGAAGCACTCAGAAGATGTATAGAAGAAAAATTAGATGTCCTTCTTGTCCAAGAGCCATACGCGGTAGGGAGAAAGGTGAAGATCAGCTATCAGAGTATTTCATGACAGGAGCGGAAGAGAAGATATTTGGAGTGCAGTCATTGTGATGAATGATACCATTGGCGCCATAATGGTTGCTCAGGAAACAAGTGGAACGTGTGTTAGTGTTAGGTTAGAGCAGAATGGAAAGTCAATGCACGTGATCAGTCTTTATTGTAGGCCGTCGGAACCCATTGAAGGTCACTTGGCATGGTTAGCTGATATAATAAGGAAGAAAGGAAATAAAGAAGTTGTTTGCAGAGGGGATTTAAATGCAAAATCGGGACTGTGGCTCAGTGGTTCAACGGATGAGAGAGGGTCGAAGGTGGAAGATGTTGTAATTGCTTGGGATCTGCACGTGGTGAACAAATTTAGTAGATGGACGACTTTTGAGAACACGCAGGGAGGAAAATCGAACATTGACGTGACGATTACGACGAGGGATCTTACAGGAAGAATAGAGGATTGGATGGTTCATGAAGAGACGCTAAGTGATCATAGGCTTATAACAATGAAATTGCGAAGGGATCAAATTAATCGGAGACATGAGAATGAACAGAGACAAGGGTCATCTGCTTAAGGAATGTAAATTGGGCAAGATTTGATGAAGCCTTACAAAGAGGTATACAAGCGATGGATATTGAAATGGCTACAGCGGAAGTTCACGCGGTAAAGATTACGGAAATGACGTGCAATCTGATGGAGGAGCAGTTTCCAAAAGCGAAAGTAGGAACAAAGAAGGTGTACTGGTGGACAGAGGAGCTAAATGAATTACGAGTGAAGATGAGAAGGAAAAGTAGGATCTGGAATAGGACAGGAAGGGAAGATGATAGGAGAGCGTTTGTTAGGTCAAGAACAGATTACGTTTGGGGAATCAGGAAGCAAAAGAAGAAGATGTGGGAAAAGCTAATTGCGGAGGAAGAGGGCGACCCGTGGGGAAAGGTCTATAAGATTGCTGCAGAGAAGCTGAAAAAGGATACTGTGCTGGTTAGCCTGGAAAAAGAAGACGGCACAATGACGGAAACAGTGCAAGAGACCCTAGAGAGAATGATACAAGGATTGCTGCCAGATGATTGGGAAGAGGAGGATACATTGGAACAATCAAGAATCAGAAGTAGGATGACTGATGAAAGCACCGGAACAGATGAGGAAGATTTCACTGAAGGAGAGCTAAATGCATGCGTTGCACTGCTGAAGGATAGGAAAGCGCCGGGAATGGATGGAATAAAGAACGAAGTAGTAAAGAGAATGTTTGGAAGGATCAAGGGGATGCTGTTGAACCTGTACAACAAGATGCTGAGAGAAGGCAGGTATCCTGATGTGTGGAAAAAAGGAATCGTAAAAGTTTTTCTAAAGAGCGAGGAAAAGGACCCAAGTAAGGTAAAATCGTACAGGCCAGTAACCCTCTTACCTGTCTTAGGAAAGTTAGGCGAAAGATTAATAGTGAAAAGGATGAAAGAATGGATGGATAGGGAAAATAGGGCAAATCCACTGCAAAATGGAATTACGGAAAGTGTTGGAACTGTAGACGCACTTCTGGATATGAGAAGAGAAGTAGAAGAGACAGATGAAAAGTACGTAGTAGGCTTGTTCCTGGATATTTCTGGAGCCTTCGACTCCGCCTGGTGGCCAGAGATTCTGAGAGTTTTGAGGAGATGGAGATGTCCGAACAACATCTACCGATTGGTAAGGGACTACTTCCGAGGCAGAACCGTGACACTAAGAGCTGGCAACGGAGAGGTGAACAAGAACATCACTAAAGGATGCCCCCAAGGGTCTGTGGTGGGCCCTCTGTTGTGGAACATCCTGTTCGATGGGTTTTTGCGGCTGCCTTTCGAGGAAGGTATCTCCGTGAGAGCCTATGCGGATGACGGACTGCTTTTGGTGAAGTCAAACACAAGCCCTGATCTCATGAGGAAGGCATCAAGAGCCTTGGAACTGGTCACTAGGTGGGGGGAAGACAGGAAGATGACTTTTTCGAGGGAAAAGACAGTGATGGTGCTCCTGAAAGGAAGGTTGGTTGAAAGATTCATCCGTGTCGACATGGGAGACGTGACAATTCGGTGTTCAAATGAGACAAAGTACTTAGGAGTCGCAGTAAGAAGTGGATTGAAATTTGCAGGACATTATGAGCAAGTAATCGACAAGACTATGAAGGCATTCGGAAAGTTAAAAGGACTGGCCAAGGCAAACAACGGCATGAGATGCGAGAACTTGAGAAGATTGTACATCGGTGCGCTTGAACCAATGATGCTGTACGGCTGTGAGATGTGGGGCCAACGAATGAGGGGACGAGGTGAGAAGTCTAAGTTGATGAGTCTGCAGAGAAAACTGTTGTTGGGTGTGATCAAGGGCTACAGCACGATATCCCACGAAACTGCCCGAGTGATTGCCGGGGTCATCCCGCTTGACTTGATGGTTGAAGAAAGGATTAAGAGAAGAAGGGACAAAGAAGAAGGTATCGACATCAAGGATAGCATGAGGATCCGAAGAGAAGAAACACTTGTTGACTGGCAGAGACGGTGGGAGTCTAGCACAAAAGGAAGGGAAACCTTTGCGTTCGTTCCGGATGTGAGGTTCAGAAAGAAAGTCCATTGGGAAACCGATCACTACACGACACAGTTCGTCAGCGGACACGGCAACTTCAAGGCAAAGCTGAAAAGTTTCAACCTCGTCGATGACGATCATTGCACTCATTGCGGAGAGCTGGAGACATCGCAGCACGTACTGATGGAGTGCCCATTCTATGAAGAAGAAAGAAGCG